GTCTTTCTTTCAGCCCCTACTGCAGTGATGTTCCCAGCATCCTCAGCCCCTGTGCTGCTGCCACAGGTAGAGGAGATGGTCGTGCCCCTCTACACTCCTTTCACCTTGACCTGTCGGGGAGAGGCAAAACTAGCATGGGAGACGCCGCTCGATGTGGCCGAGAAAACACAGGAGGACAACAGCGGCCTGTTTGTCACCACCATCACTGTGGACAACCCTACTGCAATGCACACCGGTTACTACACATGCTTGTACAGTAATACCACTGAGGATACAGAGCGCAGCAGCATCTACATCTATGTGCCAGGTATGGGGTACATAGCAGCTTTCAGCTTGTGTGTTTTTATTATTTCACGTTATTATCTTGGTCTGAGAAATGTATTTTGTCTCCAACTCAGATCCCGATGTTCCTTTTGTGCCATCACCGGCACCTTTTGGCAACCATGTCCTGTCTGACCACGAGGAGATGGAGATCCAGTGTCGGGTGTCTGATCCCAGGACCAACGTGACCCTGGTAAACGTTGACACCGATCACCCTGTGCCTAGTTTTTATGACAGCAAGAGGGGCGCTCTGGGAGTATTCACTGCTGGAACATACGTCTGTAAGACCGTCATAAACGGGGAGGAACACTACAGCGAGGAATACATCGTCCATGGCTGGACAGGTTCGTGTTCACGTGTTTGTGAACGTGTAAATCTGTGTCAGTAGATGTGTGTAGCATCACTTGGAAAAGAGGCATTTCACCTTGCAAAGCTGATCTGTCAGCTCTATGTTTTCTTTGCTGGATCTGTGCCCTTCCACAGGCATTTTGACCTTGTCAATTATTGTATCTCAGGTGGCACTGCAGGTTTCACTGAACTGCATGTTGAACTGACAGCCAAACGGACTGCGCTGCTGGTGGGAGACACCTTAACAGTCACCTGTCTGGCTCGGGGATCTTTGATTCTGGACGACCACTGGAAATACCCTGGCAAAGTGGTAAGGGCATACGTCATCCTATGCAGCACAAAGAACATCCATCCATCCATCCATCTTCATCCGCTTATCGGGGCGCGGGGCACAAAGAATAGTTGAAACTAATTACGCGTTTTGGTGTCCTATTGAAGGTGGTTTGAAAATCAAGTACCCGATGTTCCTTTCTCTTTGACAGACTAATCGTGCTGTCAAAACAGTGCATGAGAACAAGAGGGATCAGGAGATCCTTTACACCCTGACGATCCAGCAGGCTTCAACCAAAGACAGCGGCATCTACTCTTGCTCCATCACTGATATTATTAGTAATGAGAGCCAGACAAAGGAACTCATCATTCAAGTTTTTGGTATGAAAGCTGTATTTTGTGTAGTTACTGTAATTATCATGCGGTATAATTTCATAAATTCTTATCTTTCCTGTGGTGATTGAATGAATTGCTGATTGTCTGTCGGCCTCTCTTCTTTTCTAACAGCAAGTCAGTTTATGTCTATCTCGCCGGAGTTCGAAGGATATGAATCGGCAGAGCTGGATGAGGTCCGGGAGTTCAGGGCCCAAATCACCTCCTTCCCCAGTGCTCATGTCTCTTGGCTTAAAGATGGCATCCCACTCAGTGATGTGACAGCGGAGATCTCCACCAGCCTGCGGCAGCTCAACGAGACCAGGTGAGACCCCCATACAAGTTCAACTAATAACAGCAGAGCTAATGACAAGCTCAGAGTGAACACGTTCCCGGCCTGTCATTAGGGTTTAGTGCATGGTGAACTTCTATGACTGTGTGTTTATTGCAGTGTCTCGTTTCATTGCTCTGTGTAGCTACATGAGTGTTCTTACTCTGATCCGGGCCAAGGAGGAGGACAGCGGGAACTACACCATCCGGGTCAAGAATGGAGACCAAAGTCAAGACGTTGGATGGATCCTGGAGGTCAAAGGTCAGAGACAGGAATGCAACAAGCCTTTTATTACCTTTATTTTCTTAGAAACCGCTGTCACAACCTTTCAGCCCCCGTTATAGTCTTTTTCTCACATATTTACACACACTTTGCTTCTGTCTGACTTGGCACTGTCACAGTGCCTGCAGTCATTGTGGACCTGATGGACATCCACCACGGTTCAGCCACGGGCCAGTCTGTGGTGTGTATTACTAGAGGGCAGCCCACACCTGTGGTGGAGTGGTTCATCTGTAAGAACATCAAACGGTAAGTCCTCTTTAGTACATCCATCTATTCTACAACCAACATGAGTGCTTTCAGACTTCAGAATCTACATACATGCAGCCAATACACACTTTATATTTCTCTCGTCCTTTGTTTACATTAAGTTGTGCCAATGACTCGTCTTCCTGGGTGCCCCTCCCACCAAACTCCACGGAGATCACAATGGATTCACACTTTGATGAGGACAATAACCTGGAGAGCCAGGTCTTGTTTGGCCATCTTGAAAACACACTGTCTGTGCGCTGCTTGGCCAGGAACGAAATGGCCACGGTCAGCAGGGAGGTCAAATTGGTGTCCAGTGGTAAGAACACATTTCATCCATGTTTGTTTCCTCTGAAGTAACTTTACCCGGCTTTTAAATCGACATATGATGTTGTTATTTCCACCTTGTTTCCTCTGATGTTCCTTCCATTTCTGACACTCAGAGTGTGAAAGGCTTTGTAAGTGACTGTGTTCAGGGCTGAGATAGTGCTGTCAGTGTTGCAGCAGCTGTCAGATGATGAGTTTGCAGTGAGACAGCTGATAGGGGGGCTGTGCTTTAGCCACGAGGAAGGGGCTCTTATTCTGACAGCTTATTCAGAGAAGCATGAGATCATTAGGCCATTTGGTTTGGCTTTACACTCCTAACCTCAGCTCCTCACAAAGCATGTGCCTGGATACCTCCCCTAACCCCCAACCTCCATGTTATCTTCCCAGCATACCTTTTGGCCCTAGTAATATGGGCACCTTGCGGATTTAATTGTCTCTTAAGCCTAACAGGCGACATTTCTTATGCGACACGTAAAACATATTTCACTGCAAGCATTTCATTTGTCATTATAACATGTCGACACATCAGTGTCTAACAAGTGTGATCACTGGCTCTCCTCCTGAACAGGCCCTCACCCAGAGCTGACTGTAGCTGCTGCTGTGCTGGTGCTCCTGGTCATTGTCATCATCTCACTCATTGTCTTGGTTGTTATCTGGAAACAGGTATTGCTGCCATTATTCTGTTCTCATATATTCACTCTCTCATCTTTTCGTCTGCTTATTTACTTGTTTATGCATTTGGAAAAGGTTTTTGGAGCGAATGCACCTTGCAAAATCAAGCGAAAATGTTTCTGATTCATGTTTTCAGATTGAGACTGTAGCTTCCTTGCTGCCCTCCAGCATGTTTTCAGATTGAGACTTGACAGATAACAAACAGAGATGCAGTTGTGCACTGTGCCAAATTATTTTGAGTATCCATCAAATAATAATGCTCCTAACCAAAGAAAAGTCTACTCAGCTAATAAAAATAAAAGAAAAACAATTTGTGGGTGGACTTTGCAAGGCCAGGAGAAAATTGCTCTTGAAAACAACTCATTATGGTAAAACTGTCCCAAAAGCCAAATATGAGACAACAACAATCCCCTGACCTGACTTGATGAAGGTAATTAATTAGTTCTCATGTGTTTTGTCATCTAGAAGCCACGGTACGAGATCCGCTGGAGGGTCATAGAGTCTGTGAGCCCAGACGGCCATGAGTACATCTATGTGGATCCCATGCAGCTTCCCTATGACTCCAGATGGGAGTTCCCCCGTGACAGACTTGTGCTCGGTGAGCTGACTGCTATTTCTCATGTGCTAAAGCTAGAGTTTTGTGCCGGTGGCTTTGCAGCCTCCCTGCAGGGATGTTCTGGTCAGGATGTCTCACTCTGTCTTTGAAGTGAGGCTGTTATAAACTAATCAGGCATAGGCAGTAGGGGTCTGCTGGCTGGGGGTTTGTTTGACTTAGTGATTAAGGGGACATTCAGCCATTGAAAGGGTCACAAATGAGAAAGCAGAGGCCTTTTAAGTGCATGGCTTTGTTTGTATGCCTGTGCTGTGCAGGTGTTTGTTGCCATTCTTTGTTGATTATTAATCCTATGACTCCAATTTTGTGTTTTTTCAGGTCGTATCTTGGGCTCTGGGGCATTTGGGAAGGTGGTGGAGGGCACTGCCTACGGACTCAGCCGCTCCCAACCTGTCATGAAGGTGGCAGTGAAGATGCTGAAACGTGAGTTTCATGTCATACACAGCAACAGTATAGTCATCATGCGAATGATGACTATACTGTGGCACTGTTGCTGCATGCTCTGGTTTGGACATCCTGTAACCACTCTTGATCTTGGTGTAGACGCTTGAATCATCTCAGGGGATGGGGTACCGCCTTTAGACCAAAACAGATTCTCATGAGTTTATCTAAAAAAAATATAAGATATTACAAGTGGATTACTATTACAAGATATTTGAGCTATGTTGTCACCGGTCACATGATATGTTCTTTCCACCAGTAAAGTTTAGTTGAGGGCAGCTGTTGTTACTACTGGAAATAATACATACCATAAAACAGAGATTTTCAAACTTGAATTGCACATCAACACAGTCAGCAGTTGGAGCAGCAGCAGAGGCTCTGATAGACAGCAGTGACATGGAGGCAAATACTTTAAGACCGTAAGCGCCCAATTGCTGCAACTTGTGCCAAAATCACACTCTGACTTACAACACAGTCAAATCTGAACACACCGACATGATGTATCTTTAGATTCAGTGTGATCAACACTTGCATGGTTATTAGATATCCACTGTGAAAAAGCATCTCTTTACAACTCTCAGAAAAGTCTGAGAATCATCACGTTTGAGTTTTCCTCAGTATCAAAGTAAATTCAATGATAGTTTTCTGTACATCCATGACTACATTGCCATCAGAATTGCTAATAGCTAATTCATCATATACCAAATTGCGAGATGGGTGGTGTTAGAGAGCTTTGAAAACTCCTCGGCATAAATCAAAAAGCCTAAAACACATTAGGCCTGTTAAACCCTTTAATATTAAAATGTTACAGAAAAAAATTGAAAGACGTAAGTGTAGCAACACCTCATGTGACAGCTGTTTTTATTCAACTGGTGCGGAACCTTGTACTTGTGGCGGCAGCAGAGAATTGGAAAAAGTGATCAAAAGGCAGATACAAAAGCATCTACAGGATAATAAAGACACTGTTGTACAGCAGTTATAGAATTCAGATGAAAAAGGTTTGGGTGACTGCAGGGTTGACTTGCTTGATGGATGGATTATGCAGGATGATAGACACGGTTGCTGCACCTTCTTTCAGCCACGGCCCGCTCCAGTGAGAAACAGGCCCTCATGTCTGAACTGAAGATCATGACTCATCTTGGACCACATCTCAACATTGTCAACCTCCTGGGAGCCTGCACCAAGTCAGGTGAATAATACACATGCAAATTAGAGATATAAAGACACATTCATTCATCGACAAATAATGTACATAGTGCATAATAACAGCTTAGATTAACCACTGTTGCCTCTCCCTGCAATTTATTCACCACTTTACAAAGACTAACAATACCGCCCACTTTCATGCTGCCAAAAACACGTCTGTACATACACACACCCATTCAGATTTGGCATTAGCACACATTTACAGCTCCAACAGCCAAAATTGACTGACAACACTGTCTCAGCTCTTGGTGGGTGTGGTATTTTAATAGGCTTTTTATGGGAAAGTGCCTGCTTGCCCTCTTGACTGTGCTTTTAGCCTTTACGAGCCTCTGATAAGATTAGCCTGCAGCCTGACGCCGATGCACAACTTTATCTGCTGTGTTGTTCCCAGGCCCTATATACATCATCACAGAGTACTGCTTCTACGGGGATCTGGTCAACTACCTGCACAAGAACAGGGAGACCTTCCTCAGCCTGAACACAGAGAAAACTAAAAAAGAGCTGGACATCTTTGGAATCAACCCCGCAGATGAGAGCAGCAGGAGGTACCACATATAATGTTTTTAAAGCTTTTGTACATGCATTTACATGGAAAGTGTTAACACAAAAACACACACAATTTAATTCCCCTTTGCCACTCCCAAATATTACAACCATAGTCACAACAGTTTGTACTCCCACACACTCACATTCTCTCCTACCCCTAATCGGTAACTCTATCGCCATTTTCTCCATGGTTGAGAAGATAGTCTGGCGTCTTTGCCTAATCAAATCGCAGTCTGAAGTGGTCTCAGCTTTCAACCTAATTACATTGTTTTGGAGGTACCTGTTAATTCTGTCCTCCCAGACATTCATGGTGAAACAGCAGCCCTCTCTCTCCCGCCGAGGCTCATCTGTGTTGATGGATGACTCACAGTGACCACACCTCGAATTGACCATAACATGATTTAATCCTGGCTACCATGTTAGGCTCAACCACATCCAGAGAGGGAGTGAGAGGATTTAAGGACACACAATAGGGGACTTAATAAGACGTGTAACATAATGTATTATCACAACATGTCTTTGTGCCCCATGTCACATGGCTCAATATTCCCACAACCTGTCCTCACCTCCTCACTAACAGCATTCCTTCTTTGTGTCTCTCTTAACTTTGTACGCAGCTATGTGATCCTGTCTTTCGAGAGCAAAGGAGACTACATGGATATGAAGCAGGCTGACAACACTCAGTATGTGCCCATGCTGGAGATGAGCAAAACCTCTAAGTACTCAGACATCCAGGGGTCTAACGATGAATACCCACCTTCTTACGACCACCCACTCTCTCAGAAAGGATCAAGTGGTACGCACATGCAGTTTTCTTCCTCTTCTCTCCGTCCTCTTTTCACTCTCTCCTCTGAGGTATTGGTGTGTGCTTGCTTGGCTTTAGTGCTGTGTTTTAGTCAGTGTTGGTTGAGGAGTCCACCCTTGTCAGAATTTAGGACTGGTACAGCCCTGTAATTACATGGAGAGGATAATTGTAGCACACACATAATAATGCCCAGTTTCTCCCTGCCATTAGTAAAAGCCAGGTTTGAGCAGCCAGTACTATTTTTACAATACATGATGACCATATACTCGTGAACCGCCTCATGGTGTTTTCTGTGTTTTCTTTACCAGAGACGGACGACCTGTTGTCAGAAGACATGAACGAGGGCCTCACCACCACCGATCTGCTCAGTTTTACCTACCAGGTGGCCAAAGGCATGGAGTTTCTGGCTTCCAAAAATGTAAGTTTCGTTTGCAGAGGGACAATGAATGCACATCATATCTTTATCTTTTTTCCATAGACGCATTTGTCCTGCTGGGGTTTGCACACCACATAGGCCCTGCATCCCCGCATTCCCTTTGCTTCCAACTGGTTGTGGATTTTGAACTGTGTCCTATAAGATGACAGCTGTGCCGGCCAAGGGGGACTTGAGAAAATCAGCAGTTGTGTGATAAGCAGTCCCGTGAAGGCTGCTGAGCACACTCAAGAGACAGGCCAGGAGCTGAATATAGTATCAGCACAGCCAGGGTTAGAATTACCAGGCAGGCACACGCTGCAGCCAGAGGATATTCAGCTTCATAGTTATTATCCCTAAATATCCAGTGGTCACGGCCATCTCTCCAGCTGGCATGTTTATACAAAGACCATGCTTTATAAAGCAATATGTAACTGCATTAAAAATGAACTCGGGTGAAATGCGATACATACAGAAATAGATGCAGTCAGTAGCTGTGGCAGCAAAATGTGTTTGGAAGGAACTGAGAATTCAAAACAATTGTGTATGATGCACTTGAGCACCTTTTCTTACTCTGTTAACAGTGTGTGCATCGGGACCTCGCTGCCAGGAATGTCCTCCTATCTCAGGGCAAGATAGTGAAGATCTGTGACTTTGGATTGGCCCGAGACATCATGCATGACAACAACTATGTCTCCAAAGGGAGCGTAAGTCTCCGTCCATACATAACTTTCACTTTATGCCTAAAACCTTGCTCTATTCTTCTTTTCCATAATGATTTTGCAAGTGCGATTGAATTTTCCTCTCTGCCATCACACAGACTTTTCTGCCCGTGAAGTGGATGGCTCCGGAGAGTATTTTTGACAATCTATACACCACTCTTAGTGATGTTTGGTCCTATGGAATCTTGCTCTGGGAGATATTCTCCTTAGGTGAGCCCCTGGAAACATCTATTAGAAAAGAAAAGATGGATTTAAGACTGGTGGTTGTTGATAAACTCATGAGAATCTTTTTCTGTCTGAAGGTGGCACCCCATACCCAGGAATGGTCGTGGATTCAAGCTTCTACAACAAGATCAAGAGTGGATACAGGATGTCTAAACCAGAGCACGCCCCTCACGACGTGTATGTAATCATTCGCATGATGACTACACTGTTGCTGTGCATGGCACAAAGCTTCCCTAACATCCTGTCACATGACGAATGTGTTGGGCTAACTCAGCACAGTTTGTTTGTGGACTGTGATATACAGCGGCTGACATGAGTTATGGCAAAATTGCATCGTACAGTACAGGTCATACAGTTCTCTATGGTAACATTGCCTGTTTTTGCTTTTTTCAGGTATGAAATGATGATGAAATGCTGGAACAGCGAGCCCGAGAAGAGGCCTTCTTTCCTGGGTCTGAGTGATACTGTAGCTTCCTTGCTGCCCTCCAGCTACAAGAGGGTGAGTCTCTTTGTGACCTCTCGTGTCCCCAGACCTCTTTGGATTCTTGACACCTGCTTTCTTTTTTACCACCTCTCATCCTTGACCCCATGGTTGGACCTGCACATTCTGATCCTCTCTTTCTTTTTGCATTTTCTGACTCACATTTACTTTTTTTGTGAGGTGCTTCAACCAGTACTTTTTGCCAAGCAAAGTACAGGTTGGAAATAATTTAAATACACTCTTAAAGTAGCAGGCTGCTCATTTAAAACTCCTTCCACTTCCTCTGAGAGTGCATTAGCAGTGTTTCTGCGGGCTCTCTGTGTTTCTGTAAAACAGAAACCTACAAGTGATTAGAGTGCAAATGCAGCAGCTGGATGTCAGAGCGGCTGGCCTCAGTCTGGGTAATGACGCAGCCTCAGTTCTCGCCTTCACCACCCAACCTTAATTACCCCATTAAACTCCACACCACACATGGTACATCAAAACAGCTTTACCTCTGCCTCCTTCACAGAGTTTTAATGGCTGGGGCAGACGAGGAACCGACTCTTGTTTTAGCACCACAGGCTTGTGTGATTTTCAGTTTGGATTGCACTATCCAGCTGGCAACACAACTAGTGATCACACTCACACCACAGCACACTCCTCTGGCTTTGTAGCGCTTCATTAATTCTGTGCTTATGCAGAAGTACAGATTCTATCATCATCACCTCTGTGCAGCAAAGATGAACACAAATGTTGACATGTGTCGTTTGTGTTCTGTTCTAACAAAATTTTAATTTTACTGTATGCGTCTGTCTTGTACAGCATTATGAGAGGGTGAACCATGAGTTCCTGAAGAGCGACCACCCCGCTGTGACTCGGGTGTGCGTGGAAAACGATGACGCCTACATCGGCATCACCTACAAGAACCAAGGCAAGCTGAAGGACAGGGAAAGCGGCTTTGACGAACAGCGGCTGAGCTCTGATAGTGGCTACATCATTCCCCTCCCGGACCTGGACCCTATATCTGACGATGAATATGGAAAGAGGAACAGACACGGGTAAATGGAGCCAAACATTTACCTCTACCACTCTACCTTGTCTATGCTGCACCACAGATGGCACTAACGTCTGTTATTGGTGTCCCCTTGTAGCTCTCAGACATCCGAGGAGAGCGCCATTGAGACAGGCTCCAGTAGCTCCACTTTTGCTGCACGTGAGGGCGAGACACTGGAGGACATCACGCTGCTGGATGAGATGTGTCTGGACTGTAGTGACCTGGTGGAGGACAGCTTCCTGTGACACCTGCCCAGCCTGCAGAGCAGAAGCACCCAGGAAAAGGGGTTTAAGGACACAGGACACAAGGCTTGTAAATGAACCAAATACCCTGCTGTCTACCCTCAAGCCCTTCCATTCCTCCTCCTCGACCACCCATTCAGAGGACAGAACAAAACCACTTCACTGTCTGGATGAGTCTGTGGTGGCAGTACGGTATGCCCTTAACTTCTCCCTGGACACTGCCCCCTGTTGGGCTGGAGGAGTGAGTGAGCGTTGACGAAAACGTGACATCAAGGACTCAAGGAGCCACAAAGCCTGTGTGTCGGACCTATCAAGATAAAACAGATAAGATCAGTTTGAAGTTTTAATTTGCAGAGCTTTATTCTATCGGGCATTCTTTTAACAGCAATATAAGCAAAAAGGGACGAGTTCAATATGTTGGTCAGCAATCTAAATGAACACCACAGGATTTCACTTATATGATGTATATTTAACCACTACAGATGCACTAAACTAGATGAGACCAATACTAGGAACAGCTTGGCAGGTAAACTCACTTCACAGTCACCTGCTTCAAGAGATGCACCTGATGCTGGCACAATCAGTAGCAATACCCGGATTTGAAAGCACAAAATCTGGACTATGTCCATTTCTTTTTTGGTATCTGATCATATAATGTTTTCAATGGCTAAATACGTGCAGTAATTCAAATTTATTTTTTTACTTTATCATTGTGTAAACATGTATTATTTGTGAATACCGAGTCGATATCGACCATAGCTGTTTGAATGGTTATGAGAATTAAGCTTTGAGTCGCATGCATCTTGGCAGTGTCTCACCTTTTGCCAAAATACAACATCATCCCTGATCAAGACTTCAGTCATATGTGTCATATGGGCTTCGAAAAACAAAGTGTGATTGTATTGTAAATAGCTCCAGAGTTGTTTTATAAGAGAGAGTTATTGGGAACAGTATTTTATGTAAGTACACATTATGCTTCTGCACCCTCAATCGCCCCATGATAGCCAAGGCTTTTGATTAATCAGTTACAATAAAATAAATATAACAAATTTTCCTCAATAGGAATAACAGAAAACATTTTCCATCGTAGTGGACAGTATATGGCATGGACAACATCCGTGGATTAGGAAGTTGTATGGGAAATATTCATATTTTTACATGTTTAGGTATGACAGGGATAGTATTAATTTGGCTACTACAAAGGGGATCAAAGAGAAACCCAGTTCACCATGCCAATATGTTAAAAAAAAAAAAAAAGGTGAATTATATCCATTAGCTGTGCTTTAAAAACAGGTTGTGCCCTCCATATTTTATCTACAGTCCTTAAGTCTATTAGCAGGTTCTAGTTATACTAAGACACTAGATGGACTAGAGATTCAAGTCGATCTGATGTTATACATCAGTTGTGTGTAAACTCTTTGTAATCCTCTGTATCTTCCTGCTACTGTACCAGCTGTGCCACTGCCTCTGCCTCTCTCTGTTGACTGTGATATAATCTGCAATCAGTTGTTGCACTTTCCTTTTTTTCCATTTATTTTGGATGTTGCAGAAATGTTAGTCAGGCTGAGCTTTAAAAAAAATGAAAGAAAGAAAGAAAAGGCATGCTTTGGCTTTAGATGTTTAAAGCAGTGCGGATGTGAATGTTTGTGCCATAGGAGAGTGATGTGTTGTTGACAGTACAGTATCTTTAATTATAGGTAATCACACCCAATATGATGATTTAATACATTTTTTCAATATTTTACATCATGTACATTCAGAAGATTTATATTTCAATAAATGATTTATAAAGTTAAAAGACATGTCCTCTGGCTCTCTATGATTTTAAAGACTTACACAACCACACGTTGCAATAATGTAAGTAATAGAAAAAGATTTATGAGGTGCATGTCTATGAGGAATGGGGGGACAATGGCCACTTGTATTGTACATTTCTGTCCACAAGGATATTAGATTGCAATATAGCAGCATTCCTGTATGACGAATATAAAAAACAAAGATGAATGGTAAAATAACGTATTGGTAAATAACATCAATATAAATAATAAAGGACTGGAGAAAGAAACTCTTTCAGTTATGTGAGAGTATTGTCATACAGAAACAAACAACTAGTGGCGGAAGGAAAATCCTGCATAAAATACTTCAGTAAAAGTACATAAGTATTATCAGCAGAATGTACTTAAATTATCAAAAGTATTAGTACTCTTTATGCAGTGAAATTGACTGTCAATACTGATGCATCAATGCATAAAAAGCACTTTATTGTCGCTGCTCGAAGTTAAACTGGTTTTAACTACTTTATATACAGTTAGATAGTTTAGTTTAGTTAGTGGTTGCCAACCTAGGCATCAGTCATATCCAAAAGGTCACCAGATTAATCTAAGGGGTCATGAGATGATGAATTGGGGTAACAAAGAAAAAAATAAAGATGTATTCATTTCACTTATATTATATTGAATGTGCTTATCTGCTTGGGCCCCGACAGTTACATCTAAAGGAAACCATCTTAGACATTTAAAAGGAAAAAAACTCTCTCTTTGATGTAACTGCTAACAACTAGTAGACATTTTAAATGTGACAATAGACCCCAGCTACACCTTGCTTTGTTTTAGAGTCACAAGCTAGAAAGGCTGGAACCTCTGGTCTAATCTTTGACAATGTGTTGAATTTCACAAGCATTTTGAAAAACAAAAATTATTTGAAAAATAACGACAGCTATCAGATGTAGTTGAGTAAAACGTACAAGTATTTCCCTCTGAAATATACTGAAGAAGTATAAAATATCATAAAATGGAAATATTCAACTACAGTACCTCAAAATTGTACTTTCATCAATGCAAATAACTAATATATTGTGCAAATAAACAATCAACACTACTAATACATTTAGAAATGACATTTATTCAGTACTATAGTGTTATATAGATATTATTTGACTGCATACAGTATGTACTATTGCAAATGCAATCGGAAAGACAGCCATCAGAGGGCAATAATCTCACTGCAAGGCTGCCAACTATGTTGCCAACAGACAGCAAACAATTATTTAGTGACAAAATATGTTGTCCTTTTCTCAGTATCACTGCTTTTGTGGTGGTTTATGCCTCTGATGTTTACAAATATGTTCAACAATCTGAAAAATTAAAGCTGCACTCTTTTTGCTGGACACCAATAGTTAGTGTGTCATTGCCATTTTATTACCTTATTACCACTAGAGGGAGGTAGTATTTTAGATATTGCTCAGTGCCTTCAGGGTGGGAGATAAAGGGGGAGAAGTGGAGGTTCAACATGATGCAGAGGTGACGTTGGCAGACCCTAAGACTTCAGACACACCTTCTGTAGTATTAACTCTGACCATAACAACCTCTGAAGTTTTGTGTCGCGAAGGGGCATTAGGAAGATGTAGCTTTATGTTCCATCAGGCAACAGCTGCAAACCCCTGGAATTATTTTGAAACCAGCGCATAAGCCCAACCTTTGCAGAACTTTAATCTAAAGCAAACGACCTTTGTTGACATGTAGTTTAACTGAACCGGACTCAAAGAGCAGTACAAGTACAGCAGGACAAATATTTATTTTAGAATGCATTTCATAACTTTTATGGTCTTATTTTGTAGCTTTACCCACATCTGCACAATTATAAAACTTTAGCAACAAAAACTTTTACCTTAGGCTGTCTGTCTTTATAATGGCTGTCTTTTTTGACTGGTTTTCCTTTTTTTCCTTCTGTTTGCTCAAACCCTTAAGGCAGATCGGTGCTAGTACAAAGCAGGGTCAATAGCTGCTCCAAACCACAACTTGCAAGCTCGTGGAAGCTAGTAGAGGACTAGACGGAAAAGTAGTGATAGTCAGTAGAGATGCTTGAGGCTACTGGTAATCACATGAGTGTGCTAGAAACAACAGTTGAAGGTTTGCATGCAGATTTTCTTGCAACAAGAAAATAACTGCTAGGGAACAGTTTTAAAATATATTGGGCAAAAAAATGGAAGCACCCTCACATCTGGGGTGAGGCCCTCTTAGTTCTTAATGTATCGGAATAATATTTTCTAGTATTATTTGTATTTGAAAAGACACGGCTCCAAAGGAGGCTTTGTTCCTGAGAAAAATGAAGCCCCTTGTGGTGTGCAGGGTGGAGGAAATATGATAACAAATGTCCCATTCACTGAATTTTGCTTAACGTGAGACATGCATGCAAACTTTCGTGGTGAACATGCAGCTAGAAAATTTCCATTTACAGTATGGAAATTTATTTCCTTCTTTGTTTTCACAAAGAATGTCAGCTTCTGTTCCAAGAAAATAAAATGTAACTCTTTCAGGCTCTGCAACAAAAAATAAAAATAAAAATTGAGATAAAAAATAAGAGATTATAAGCGTTAATAATAAATTAAACCAGACTAAGAGTCTAGCGCAGTATAGCCACACTAGCAGCAATCTGAGGCTGTGAGCATGCTAATGTGATGACGCTAAGCAGGTGGGCAATAATTTTCACCATGTTCATAATCACCGTTTCAAAAGTTAGCATGGAACCGGAACACTAGCTGGCACAAAACACAACATACAGCTGAAGCTGATGGGAATGTCCTGTTTTGCAGGAATTTGGTCTCAAGGGGTAGAGGGCAGGGTTAGATGAAGAGATGAAATGTCACAAAAGTTATTGCATTTCATCCTGAGGAGGGCTTGAACGTGTGTACCACAAATGTCATCCTCATGGTGTGGTGCTAAAGGAAAAGTCACTCATCACCAAAGTCATTAGGAATTATCATCTTGTAACCATCAATGCCTGTACAAACCTTTATGGCAATCCATCTGATAGCTGTTGACGTATTTCAGTCTGGACCAAAGTGTTGACAGACTGGCAGACACGTTCAGCAAACTAAACTAACCCAACAAATAGGCAAATGT